TCACCTCTGTAGAGCGTATAAATGACAGTGTGGAGAAAATGATCAAACGTACTTTGAAACTGGAATTAAACCACCAAACCTCAAATCTAAGTTGTGGCCACCGACATTTTAGTTTCTAAAGACAGACCTACGTCCATAGCAGCCGTGAATTTTTTTTTTTGTTTGGTGCTGTTGGGTTTGTATTCGTACTTGATTTAGTGTTTTATTTGTGTCTGCTGAGCTCTAAGGGTTAATTGTCACAACTCATTTTAAAGCTCCATAGGTTTGATTAACTTTTGTGACACCCTAATCTATTTACAGGCATATTTGACTTCATATTTGTTTCTTAATATGCCAGTTCAAGATTATCTCTTAAATGCAAGTTAAACATTGTATGTTCATAACTGTCAACACGTTTCAGTTTAGTGATTGCCTTTGGCAGTCAACAGCTTCACTTTCCGTTTCATATCATGTACAGTTGGTCGACGGCATGCTTACAAAAGAGACTCGCATTGCATTCAATATCAGTTTATGCATTCCCTAGGAATCAAACTCTTGACCTCGGCGTTGTGAGAGCCATGCTCTATGTGAGCTACTATTTGTATTTTACCTGAAAAATATTCAAGACCTGAGTTCAATTTTAATCTCGTAAATGGTGATCATTTCATGCTCTTTTGAAGAAAGTGGCTGTCATTATGCATGCAGTTACACGCAATCAGTAGTTAAAATATCCATAATGTTACATTAGATAAAGAATAAACAGAATAAATAAAAAAAATCTAATTTTCTGTATATCATGTTCATTCTGTCCTGTGGTGCGTCACTCGTACTCTTTGAGTCACTGTGTTTCTCTGACTCGTGTTGAGGTGTGTGTGCTCACGTTTAGTTTGTTTGGGAGTTAATGTGTGTGTGTGTGTGTGTGTTCCATATGTATGAGGGAGACACTTTTATTTTCTGTGTGTGTGTTTGTCTTAAATAATGGAGTGAGTGAATATCAGATTGTTTAGAGAACTTTAAAAGCAGGAAAACCAGCCCACCAATCAGCTGTAACACACTAATTAACACTAATTAACCTTACCATCATCATTAGCTCAATTTGCCCTTCATCCTGCCCACATAACACTCTCTCCAATCACACCTCCCTCATCCCCCCGTCTTATTATCTCCTCTCTCATTCCTCCTCCATTCACCACCCCCTTCCCCTCCTCCTAAAGGCCAGTGAAGCAGAGCTGTGTGTGTGTGTGTGTGTGTTTGTCAAAGAGAGAAATAGAGTGCGAGCGAGGTGAGCGAGGCACAGAAACAGCGGGAGAGAGAGAACTGTGTATGTTTGTGTGAGCGAGACGAGACGAGAGAGAGAGAGAGAGAGAGAGAGAGAGAGAGAGAGAGAGAGAGAGAGATCAAAACCTGCCTGTGGGTAAATGAATAAATCATGTCTTCTCTTCGTCCTGAGAACTGAAGCACGGATGAGTAATACACACACACACACACTCTCTCAGTCCTGCTCTCCTTCTCTCTCATTCCCTCTCTCATGCAGTCTGCTCTCTTACACACACACCACCACCTTATGTTTGCTATGCAAGGGCAGATAGTAATCAGAGATGGCCGCTCGCACACACACACACACACACACACACACACACACACACTGACACTGATATTATTAGAACCCTTTAAACACACACGCGTGGATCACACCTACACAGCTGGGCAGCAGCAGCTTTCTGTGCCCTACTCCGGTGAGGCCTTGTTAATGTTTACGGGATCAAAATATAATATCAAAATATGAGTAATTTTTAAAGGTTGTGTTATGATAGATATACTACATATCAGTGTAGTTATTTTTGTTTGAAATAAAGTTATTAGCAAGTTCTGAAATGAAGGTGGGCTTGGGTCTGGTTAACATAAAAGACAACACAAATGCATTTAATAAGGTAATTATAAAATATATTTCCCCAAAAGGTAAAAAAATGTATATTACATTTACAAAATCAAGGGGTACAAATATTTCCCTGAATCTAAACTAGGTTGTTACAATTTCCAGAAACATGGATGCCGGTGAGGACTAAATATGATATGACGGAAAAAACGAATGTGAGAAATTTTCTAGCAATTAACAAACAAATAAACGAATTACAAGCAATAGGATATGCAATAGAATTAAAACGCATATACAAATAAAATAAACAGTGCTTTAAACTTATCAGGTAAATGTAATAGTGGTAGTCATTGAATAGTAATTAAATATAACATATAATAGTTTTCACTGTATGAATTAAATATACAATTATTCTTATTAAACTTAATGAAGTGATTCAGTCAAGAGCAGTGAATGAACAAAAGGGTCATAACTGATTTTCTTTTGGCTTTTTGCATTCACTTAAGACCTAAATGTATATGTCATTATATGTGTGGAATTACTTTTATATGTATTTAATTGAATTGAGTTGAAACAGCATAACTGTTAACACTCCACTTGTTCCCAGAATTATACACACTATATTGTGCCTGGAAATGTCAATTACTTGATATGCACTTGTTCATGGAACTGTTGGATAGTGTGTGTGTGTGCATTTACGTCTATGGAGTCCTCACAAAGATAGTGGACCAGACGTGTGTGTGTGTGTGTGCTCTCTCTCGCTGTCATCCCTCCCCCATCTGAAGCTGTCTGTGTGCAACTGTTGCTTTCCTTCATCTTCATCTTCAACCGAATCTGTTGCGCTGTGCAAGTGCATCAACACTCTTACAGCCCGTTCACACCAATAACTGTAACTATATTAGCGTCCACACTAATGCACAATTGCGTTCTGTCTAATCTTAGCGCACCGCTTTAAATGCTCGAGGTCTTAAAAGATTTTGATTGGCTGTCAATGTTTTTATCCTTCATCAGTTGGAAAAAATCGCTCTGAATTTAATTCCAACGATATCATTTTTTGGTGCCGTTATCGTTGCAGTTGTGCTGTGGACTCATTCTTGGTACTCGTGTGATATCGCTTATCGCTTAAAATAATCATTATTTTATGACTAGTAACCTTTATGATGTCAGGTCAGTAATTAAAAAGAAAAACTGTATTAATACTGATATTGTGATATTTTAACTCCATTGTAAGAGATCAAGGAAAATGTGTTTTCTCATGATACAACCCCTTGGCATGGTAGAAATAGAGTATCTAAACATAAATGGTACTTGATATTTTCTGCCTCTAATTCCATCTTTATCGAGCGATCCAGATAATTGCAAAAAAAAAAAATGCTGATATAGGATATCAAGAGCATTTTCTGTCACACATTGATAAATATGCCATGCTGGATAAACATCAGCACAATCAGTGATATCATTTGTTTCACTGTCACTTTAAACGGTTCACACTTTTGCTGTGAATGATTTAGTTTCTCTGCACCTGAGCCTCTGTAAGTGTGTGCGCAGCCTTGTGTTCGCATCTGTGTGTGTGAGAGAGAGAGGGAGAGAGGGAAGATGATGATGCAGACTCTGGGGTCAGCTGCATATGAGTCACACAGGAGAAATTGGACTGAGGCATTAAACTAGTCAGATGAAGACTGATGGACAGAAAGGAAGAGAAAGAGAGAGCGCTGATAACTGTGATTGGATTTGACAATCACACACACACACACAGACAGACACAAATCTATGCATGAAATTGGTCCACTCATTATTGTCTGTGCTCAATACAAAATGCTTTCTTTAATTTATCAAGTTTTAATTAACATAATAGGACATAACAATACAATTATAATTGCATTCATATATATATGTATATATATATATGAAGAGTTCAGATGCAAAAGCCTCTAAGTGCCATTTGAAATTTTCTTCTAAAATCATCATTTTTATCAAGCTTGTATATTTAAGTTCAGTGATTTCACTTAAATGGCAATGATAATTACCTATTAATTGTCATTTAAGTGAAATTACTGAACTTAAATATACAAGCTTGATAAAAATGGTCATTTTAGAAGAAAATTTCAAATGGCATTTAGAGGCTTTTGCATCTGAACTCTTCATATATACACAAACATATATATATATATATATATATATATATATATATATATATATATATATATATATATATATATATATATATATATATTATGAATAACATGCAACTTATTAATGATAAATATTATATGCAATATATAATAATTACATAATGTTTTATATGTAATAAATGTAATTATTTATTAATGTAATGTATTAATATATATATATATATATATATATATATATATATAATATTTATTAATAAATAATAATAAATATTGTAATGATTAATAATATTAATTGTAATAATAATAATAATATATAGTAATAATAATATAAATGATTAATACATTTATTATTTATATAATATTATATGATATTATATGATTATTATTTATATAATATAGTATTTATTATACTTATTAATTAATATTTATTCATTTGTAACAACGATGATTTTCTTTTCTTTCTCTTTGCACACATATATTAAGCAGCTTATAGCATTATGAAGAAAAATAAGTTTGACTTTCTGGAGAGCAAGATATAAACCTGGAAAAAAAAAACAATTAAATGTAAATTCCAGGCGAATAGAGTACGTGTGTGTGCGAGTTTGTTTCAAAAAGAGAATTTTTGTGAAATATCTAGCTCAGTGTTTCCTATTTTTATGTGCTTTGTGTGTGTAACAGGCAGAGGTTTTGGGAGTTCAGCAGAAGTTCAGCTTAAATATCTGCTCTACATTACCGTTACGTAATTTCCAGTCTTGTGTGTGTGTGTACAGTGAGGAGGTGTGTCTATTGTGTGCATGGATGAGTAATACCATGTGTAATAGTGTGTGTGTGTCTCTCGCGGTCATCCCTCCCCCATCTGAAGCTGTCTGGTGTGCAACTGTTGCTTTCCTTCATCTTCATCTTTTCTTCTGGAGCTTTCAGTGTGATCATAGCAGATAAAATCTTCAGCACTCTTTCAATCTTTAGAAAGAAAACCAGAACTTGTCTCATGCTGTGTTGTTTTGCTGTTAAAGGATGAAGTGGGCGATGGAAATCCAGCTGTGAGGGATGATCCGTCTCTACAGGAACAGGTTCAGGCCTGGCTCAAACAGAACCAATTCCAGAACATTCTTCAGAAAGGTATCCCAGCCTACACTCTCTCTGCTTTCGGCTCTTCAGCTCTTGATCCGTGTGGAGATCCTGTGATTTTTGGTTTGTTCTTGGAATCTGTTCAGTTACTTAGCGGTTGATGAGGATGTTTGAGTAAATCAGAGTCGACTGTTTGAAGCCTCAGTGAATTCTGTTTGCTTGTACACAGAGGATTTTATATATTTACAATATCTTCCTCAGTGTCTAGATTCAAATAAAGGTGTAAACCTCGTGAGACCGTTATGATGATTTGTTCAGGAGCTGAATGTATTTATTTGTATACATTTATATTTGTGATGTATACATGGCTCATTCAAACTGATTTTAGAACTATCCATTTTATAAATAAGGATTTTAATTCAAGAACTAGAGTTTCATGGGTGTTTTCATTTTCATGTTTTTTTTCTCTCAAAGTTGATTTAAGGATTTGAGTAAGATTGTTTTATAAAATCTGTGTGATATTTGCTATTTTGCAACAGGTGCTTGTTCTCTAAAGGGCCTTAGAGTGAAAGTGTTCAGACAGGAGTCCAAAACTCAGTGGCTGTCTGGAGTCATCACACACCACGACCAGAACAACAGAACTGTAGCTGTCATGGCTGACCAGGTGAGGCCACATAAACACGCATATATATGATGTTGCATGTTAATTTAATGTAAAAATATTTTATATAAAGGTTATTTTTCATCAAAAGGTTCGAGAGATTGTGAATGTAGATCCTTCGCTGGTTCAGATGGTGTTACTAGATGATATCACCCACTCCTCGCTAATGGAAGACCACTCAAAACGCAAATCACATATCACCAAGATCAATAGGATTTTTCTTGTAAGTGATTTTTTTTTCACATACTAGTTTTGTGACAATATTGTCCTTAAAAGCAGTGGTTATAAAACCTGTCCTGGGGACATCCCACTATTGTACATTTTGACTTTGCTGACCTGATCCTCACCGTAGAAAAGCAACACTTCAGTGGACGGCACCACAAGATGCAATTGTAAAAGACATACAAGAAGCTGAGCTCGTAAGAAAGCCATCAAAAGAGCTCATTACGGCCACTGATTATTCACTGCCCGGCAAAAAAAAAGTCACTGTTTGGATTTTAATAGGCAAACACTTAAATGTCTATGATTAGATCATTATTGCAGTTATTATGTTTCTTGCATGTTATATGTTTGCCAACAGTTCGTCTAGCCCTAATTGATGGAGTGTGTAGCTTTTCATTTCTTAAACAACCATGTAGGAAGAGACCCATCATGGCCATTTACCAGGATGAAAATGTAAAGATTCATCAGGCTCAGATTGTGAAAGAATGGTTGGGATCGCAATCATGAAGAATCATTTTCACTAATGAATCGTCTCCACTGAGTCCAGAGCTTAAATACATTTAAAGTCTTTGCGATGTGCGGCAGGAGAGCGATTATCAATACAAGATCTTGACCAAAAATGGATGCACCTTTTGATGGAAATAACATCACAACATGTTTTTTCCAAATGATTCTTCCAACCATTCTTTCACAATCTGAGCCTGATGAATCTTTACATTGTCATCCTGGAATATGACCATTATGTGTCTTCCTATGGTTGTTTAAGAAATGTAAAGCTAAACACTCCATCAATTAGGGTTAGAAGAACTGTTGCCAAACATATAACATGCAAGAGACATAATAATCACTGCAATAATGATACAATCATTGACTCTTTAGCCTAATTAAATTCAAACAGCGGCTTCTTCTTTTTTTTTTTTGGCCAAACAGTGTATATTCATACAAATCAGCATCTGAAATATCGCTGAAATATTTTTTAAAGGTTAAAAAAAAATTTGAGAACCACTGAGTTTCAATTAAAAAAAAAATCTTAGTTATTGGTTTGGATTAGGGTTAATAATATTCATAATTAGATTTAGTATTGACTTTTTAGCAATAGAAGTCTAAGATATGTCCTCATTTAGATAGCTAAGTAAATGTTTGTGTTTGTGTCTTCCAGGGCACAGAAAGCATATCAAACAACACTACAACAAATGACCAGGTAGAGACTTTAACGCACTTTCAAATGCATTACAGCAGAAAACACAGTTTAAAACACACTTTGTCTCTATGCTGAAGGTGTGTAGCTCCAGGCCAGTGCAGCAGCAGTCTGCACCGAGCGCACAAAACTGCAGCATGGAAGAGGATGAAAAAGAAGGGATGAGGGACGAAAAGAGGAGTGATGATGGAAGAGGTGAGGTGTAGCCATGGATAATGATTATGAGGATATTAAGAGTGTAGCTTGATTCATATTTATGGCATTACCTTGATACAGAGTGCAGTTTTTTATGTAGCTGTGTAGCTTTTTGATCTTGATATATTTTTTGATTCCTAGATTCTTCTAAATCTAAAAACGGCAATGGTGAGAGGAAACGGAGGAAAGAAGACGAGGGGAAAGATGACAAGCAGAGAAAGAGATTGAAGAGGTTGAAAGCGGGGAGTTTGTCCGAACAGTCTGAGAACAGCGATTCTGAAAATTCCAGCTGCAGAGTGCAGGATTCATCCTCGGATTCAGGATCAAAGAAACAGCTGAAACAGCGTTACACTTCAAAGAGGACATTGGACTGTGAGGTTCACCCCTCACATAAAGGTGGGGAACCTTCTCCCAGCCAAGTAGGAGATAGTGAGACTCAGAAATTGAGAAAAACTCCTCCATCCGATGCTAGTGCTTCCTGCAATGGGGCATTTAGTAACACAGAGGCGCAGGAGTGTGCTGCCGGTGTTAGTGTTGGAAAATCAGATGAGAAAGGTGATGGGGGAATGACAGAAATAGTGGACCGGAGTGAGGGGGCGTCTCTAGAGGACTCAGAGGCTGTGTCTGCACTGCTGGCATCCCAAGAGAGTGAGCAGCTGGTCTCCATTGAAACCACATGTGTGTTGCTACATGCATCACCTCAGGAGTGTGAAGGAGCGGACGGTGAGCATGAGATGTCGACAAATGATCCAGAGGTCAAAAGGCCAGAGTTCACCGACGCTGAGGCTAGGGGGTCAGACTTTAACCAATCAGAGGTCAGGTCGTCAGAATTTCCTCAATCTGTGGCCATTACCACCAGCAATAACACTGCAGTCACAGTAGAAGAGGAGCCAAGAGTAGCACCTTCTCGGTCTCCTGTCAAACCTTGCAGCAAAAAGGAGGATGTGGACTCTAAACAAAGATGTTCCCCAGAATATGGACCTGTGATTTCTTTGGAGGCAACCCACAAGCATAGTGTGCAGGCTAGTCCTTGCTCCTCTCCCGAGATCATATCTAAAGCTCAGACTGTATGGGAGATGTCCAGACAGAAGCAGGGTGCGTCTCTAGAGATGGGACTGTTGAAAGAGGACACTCCTCGGCCTAAATCGATGGACAGAACGCTTAGCTGCCTTAAAATGGCACCCAATCCGAAAGTGACCTGCTCCACAACTCCTTCTCCATCCCCAAACCAATCCAGAACCCCTACACTTTCTCCTCCCGGTACGCCTAATTGCACTCCCACTCCAGACAAGTCCACCAAAAGTCCCCTCATTGTGGACAGAAAGGATCCCTTCACTATATACAGAGACCCTGCGATGGTCAGGGCGGAGCTTGAGGCCCACCCCACCTACATCCAGCCCCCTCACACTCCCCCAAACCCCAAACACCACCTAAAGACGCCATCTCCCTCCTCCAGCTCACCCAGCCTTACCCCTGCTTCCTCCCACAGCAAGTTACTGAGTCCCTCCCCTCATCTCTCGCCCATTCCCCTCCACTCCCAGCCTCCCCTTTGCTCCCTGAGTACACCCCACTCAACCATCCCTCACCCGCACCTCCTTCCATCCCTCCTGCATGCACTGCCCCCATCTGCCGCAATCTTGGCTGGACATCCTCGTATCGGATCCCTGGGACTTCCTCACCATCCTTTAGCCCTTCCGGGTAACTCATCTCTTCTGGGCCAGACCACTGGTGCAGCTTCTTTGGCACATCTTGGCCTCTATCCCCTCTTGTGGCCTCCTTTCCCCAATGGAGCCCATAGCTACCCTGGACTGGACGTGAGGAGGGTAAGTAACTTCTGGAATCAGTCATGATAATTAGCTTGGCTGGAGCTGTGGTACAAAGTGGGTTGATCTGACACATAAAAATCTTGTGGGGACCTTGGTTTGAGGGCTCCTTTGGGTGGCTCAGCTGATAGCAGGAAGCCAGATGGTCTTTCTTTGTAAAGTCTGCATGCTCATGGGTTTCCTCCGATGGCTTCAGTTTCCCCCACAATCCAAAGACACGCTGGATAGGTGAACTAAATTGTCTGTAGATGTAACTTTAAATGCATGTAGTGGGTGTCTGGGATGTTTCTCTGCCTTCGGTCTGAGATGCTTGGATAGGCATCCCCGTGTCTCCTACATGGGGCAAGTGGTTTGGAGAATGGGTGGATTTGACTGTCATTTGAACAATAAAAAAAAAGAATTAAGACTTTTATATTTCAAAAAGGTTGTAGTTGTATTGGTAGCACATAATTGGTGTTGTTCCTGGCGTTGTTGTGTGTACAGATTATATTTCTGTAGATGTTATGGTACTTATGAGATCATAGCGATACCTCATGTTGTCAGGGACACATTTAGATGAAGCAGAGCATGACCCATGAGGTGTGCATGCTGGAGAGAGAGTTCCCCCTGTGCTAATACTGTGATAGACATAGTGGGTATTATCCTGACTACTCAAAATGTCATGCAAGTCTATGATGCTTGTGTAATATCCTCTGGTTTAGTTTTAAAGCCTAGATGAAGCACCACGAGGCAGGTTATGGTAATATGGACGCATATTGCAGTAGGATCAGGACATCCTTGAGTCGTCTGTAACCAACTGTTCATCTATACATGTATTATGGATATAAACAAGACTTTATTTATCAATGTGTGTGTGAGAGTGTACACTTGTGTATGCCAGGAGGGGATTGACTTATGTCCTTCATTGTGTATCAATTTATTTATTTTTTGTCTCCCTAAGGTTTGGAGTCTTTTGACTTCTCTAGATCGATCCAAAACAGGTTCTACATTTGTCTGAAACTCTGTATGTTTGTCTATGTGATAACAGAATCCCCCAAGCCCTTGGCTTTCTCAACCCAACCCTGTTACTAATGCAGACGGTCAAGGGATGCAACCCCCACTCCCCATCCGACCCTCCAGTGCGGACCCTCAGAGAGCATCTAGGAGCACTCAACATTGCATGCCTTCCTCCAAAACCACAGAGTAAGTTTTCATCTCACTCCTGCACGCACTTTTTGTTTGACTTCATATCATTGTTGTAATTAATTGGTTACATAACATTCATAAAGCATTTTTCTGGGTACTCAAAGCGACTACAACTTGAATAAAACTCTATATTGGATCTGTGCAAGTGACAGCAGCCAAATAAACCTGCTGCTGTCTGCCATGTCAATCAAAGAAAGAACTTTTTTAACTTTTGATTACTTTTATTTGTGTTATTTCTTACCTGAATACAACAGTTAAACTCACCTGAAAAACTTAGTCATGTTAATTTAATTTGTCTCTTGTATTATTGTATGTATTTGTGCTATTGTCTACAATTTATTTATTTGTTCTTATTTTATTACTGTTTACTCACTGTCTCTTTTTGTAAATCTAGTTCAATGATTTAAATACAGCCTCCCTGTGCTGCGTGTAAGCTATTACAACAAAATTACTCAAATTTTAAAAACAATTATGATATAATTTATTAACTGTATGTTGGTATATGGCAGGTTTCCCCTTGGTATCGAACATGAATATTTTTCCAAGGTATCGTATCGAAGTTGGAAATTCCAGTATCGTGACAAAAATGGTTAATGGACTGCATTTATATAGCGCTTTCATAGACCTAATGGCCACTAAAGCCATGAAGACAGTTCACTTCGTGTATACAGACAGGAGCCATCTTAGGAAATAGTCTCGATAAGTCGATACCCGAACGCCTTTCATACAGTTCAGAAGTTCGCTGAACTTCATACAGTTCAGATCACTCAGCACGACGTTCGTGGTTTGACTTATCGAGACTATTTTTTAAGATGGCTCCTGTCTGTATACGCGAAGTGAACTGTCTTCATAAAGTATCTTCTTATTAAACGGTCTGTACACTTACAAAGTTCTCAATGCTTCGTTTTGCGTGTATGGACCCTCATTATGTTACTGTGTTAGTGTGGGGCTATTTTGAGCCTTGTTAGTGGTATAAACTAGCGATTTCTTTTTACTTAGTCAATGCCCCATTACTAGCATTATACGCTAAATAGTTTTTAGAGATAAAACTCTTTACATTTAATTATCATGAAAACAAATCTCAGAGAACGGTTGACTATGTACCGATGTTTTATTAGTCCAAAGGGTCATTGTTCGCCGGAGTTCTCCTTTAACATTTAGAAAATAGATTTTTGACATTTGCGATTCGATTCAAAATCGTTGGCGTCACGATGCATCCAAGAATCGATTTTCCCCCACCCCAACTTGTCCTACATATTGACCCTTGCAACAAGCTGGTCCACATTCATTCCCGTTGTTCTTTTTTTCTAGAGAGCTGGATAGAAGAGCCGCCACTGAGAGCACAGTCATCCACACTCACTTCAAGTCTGAACAGGAGCGTGTCCGTGCAGCGATGGGCAAAAATGGGCTGACTTACTCCCCAGGTGCCCCTGAATCACCTCCAAGTCGAAACAAACAGCCACTTGTTGTTTATGATCTCACAGGTGAGAGACCTAACCGCTACCAGGAAGAGAACCGGCGCATTCTTCTGGAGAGCAGTGAGGTCGCTCCGTTCACTGCTAAACTGAGCTCGGATAGGGAACTGCGATACACTAGAAGTCCCACTTCTACCCTTCCTTCCAAGGAAAGGGAGAGCGAGATGGACAGAGAGAGAGACCAGGACAGAGAGAGAAATGTGCATGCATTCAGACACACTCTTCCTCCCCGGCCACAGTCGGCCCATCCCACCCCAACCCTCACTCCGAGCAGCTACTACTCTTTGCCAGCTAGCAAAGAACTCTACGAGAGGCTCAGTGCCAGCAACACGGCTGCCCCTGTCTTAACTTCTTCCAGCTCACAGGTCTCAATGAGAGCCAGACCCCCGCCTCTCATTAAACGCCACCACGAGAAAGAAGAAGGTCTCCTGGGAAAGATCACAGAGCAACTTGCACATAAAGCATCTTCCATGATGGCATTAGAGGTAGCGACTGTGGAGAGAAGGGGGCAAGGCTCTTCTCTCATTTCTGTCTCCTCTAGTCCCCGCAGCGTGCCTTTACTCCACCGTGCCCCAATTTTCCACCCTCCGGCACCAAACCTTCTAGTTTCTAAAGACTCTGGACATGGCAGATTGTCCCCGCCTACTCTCACACCCATTCAGCCAATGAGCTTGTCTGGAAAAGGTCAGAAGCAACAGAGGCCACCCACCCTGTTACCCGAGCTCAAACATGTCAGACCCGTGCCAGAGAAAGCAACGTCATCACAAACCTGGGATACCCAATGGGGTGGAGTCATGTTTGACAGAGAGAAAGTAGGTGGTGGGCACACAACAAATGGAGGTGTAGTCAAACCAAAGTCGGCCACTGCGTCAGTCATTGTACATACGACAAGTCACACACATACCACAATAAATTACTCAGTGTCTGACAGCTCAGTTTCCCGGATGCAGTGCGGCCACATAAAGCCATTGGAAAGTGTGTCCAACCCACACTCTAAGGAGGGCAGTGTTCAGTATAAAAGAGGTGTCCTGTGGACCCCTATGGATACTGTTCACCCCATCAACATGACGACCCAAAAGGGAGACCTCAGCACACCCATAAACATGACAACTAAACCTATTAACACAGCTCAACCGACACACCCCTTAACAAATATGAGTGCCACATGCTCTAGGATAGACCTAATCGCAGAACACTGCAAGAGGAGAGACGGTGGAGCCGGTCAAATAAAGATGGAGCCATCTCCCACCTCTTGTTGCACTTCTAGAGAATTCCCTCATCTGAAGAAACACAGAGCTGGACTAGCCACTGCTGAATCTAGACTTAACACGCATACAATTCAGCCTCAACACACTACACATCCTTCAGATGCTTTGAAACACACCTCTTACCTCTCAAATAGTAGGAATGGGACTTACACTACACTCGCTACACATACTGTGTGTTCTACACATGCACAGTCTGTATTCAACGCTAGCACTTCTGAATGTCTCCGACTGGCATCAGGGACTTCTAGCCCTATAGCAACAACCACACAAGGTTTGCTATCCAATGAGCAGATACCCGCCTTCGCCGTAACAAACCAGTCAACTCAATTCAGTCAGAACAACTGCCATAAACTGAAAAAAGCCTGGCTGACCCGCCATTCTGAGCAAGATAGAGAAAGTACGGCCTCCCAAACACTAGATGGCACTAAGACAGCTGTAACTTTGACCAGCACAAGCTCCTCTGTGCCAATCAAACAGGAAGTGAATGGACTGGTGGATAATTGGTGCACTCAGGAGGACAAAGAGTCCTCCTTAGACAGCAGAAAGTCCAAAATAATAGACAAGAAGTCTAGTTTAGAGGACAGGAAGTCTAATAGTAGTGCTACAAGTTTCAATTCAGAGGACAAAAAATCGGTCAAAGCCACTGAGAAACCAGTGACCGCGGGCAAGAAGTCTTCCTCGGATGATGTTAAACCTCTCTTGGACAGAAATGGAAAGCTGGAAAGTAAGGAAGCCTTTGTGGAGGACAAGAAACCTAATGAAAGACGATCAACCTCTCTACAGAAACAAGGCGAGAAACGGCCGTTAGAGTCCAGCGGCGACAGCGAAAGTGGAGGAGACTCCGGCAATGAGAGTGAGAGTGGTGGGTCAGGACAGAGGTTTAAACGGCAGTCCAAGTCCTCTTTTAAAATAAAGCCGAATGACAGCCAGAAGAAGAAAGTAGACAAGGAAGAAGAGGAAGAGGCCAAACCCAATGGAACTCTGCAAAGTGCGAAGGATAAGCCTCAACAGAGGCTCGCAAACAGCAGTGAGTTGTCCACCTGTTTAAATGCTGATGTATGATCAGGCTTAAAGAAAATGTTGATAATTGTAACATCAAAACATTGTCATTGGTATTAAAGTAAAAATAACTTTCTTCTATAGAGAAAGTTTTTAGCATATAAACCAGTATAGACCTGATATATAAAATGATATACCTAATATAGGTTTTACTATATGATATTTAACCCTCAGGTGCTCTTCGTTTCGGAGTCACACTTGTTATCTTCCCGGTCAAAAGTGACCGGACATCTAAAAATTAAATTTCCTCCATCCCAGTAAAACCAATGCAATTTATTTTTGTTCTATAATATTTATTCTTTGTAATTTAGTATTTTGAGACAATTTGATTGAATTTATTAATATTTATGTAATATTTATGGTCTATTTTGCCATGGAAAAATATATATATATTTTATATATATATATATATATATTATTATTTTTTTTTTTCAAAAAATTATTAATGCAGTATTTTAGTTTAATATAGAGTCTAGGCATTCAGAAAAAAATATTTTTTGTGTGTTCACATACATAATTCCATAAAAGTCACCAAGTTTCGTAACATCGCGATGAAGCTGTGATTTTTTAAATATTCAAAACATACTTTTTGTAATCCAAATTTATTGGTGTGTATGTGTATAAAAGTGTGTTTGTATGTGTGTGTGTGGGGTGGGTTTGTCTGTTTTGCACTCTAGATGTTGTAGAGTGTTACCCCTTTCCTGCGATGTCCTTTTTTTTCGAATTGTGGCCGATTTGTAGATTGCACGTACAAAAATTCAGAGAATTTATTTTTGTCAATTTCCCATTCGTTTCCTAAGGGTCATTTCCTATTTTTTTTGCGACCACTTAGCATGCTCGGATTCACATACATAATGCCATAAAATTCACCGAGTTTCGTAGCATTCCGATGAAGCTGTGATTTTTAGAAATTCAAAACAGAACATTTTCCGGTCAGAAATGACCGAAGAGCACCTGAGGGTTAAAATAAAATCTTTTTCTTTTCTTGTTTTTTGTGTTTGAAATCAAATGTTGTTGTGTTGTAAGTCATCTCATACAAAAGATTGTTCTCAAATGCCTATAGAAAATCTTAAAAAATGAAATTAATATACCTTTTGCAGTATTCAATGTTGCACTCTATAGCAGCTCTGTTTAAGCAATCTGTCTAAGATTTACTGGATGAACAATTACACATACTTTGTCTTTGCCTGTATGCAATTGACTCAATTTCACCATGGCATTCAGAAAAGGGAATGGCTGTTCAAATTATGCATTTTCATACTGATGCTGATAATATAAATGTGTACTCATCTCAACTATGTAATTTCTGATTCAGATGGCATCCCTCGCTCTGTGCTGAAGGACTGGAGAAAGGTGAGAAAGCTCAAGCAAACTGGAGAAACTTTCTTGCAAGACGACTCCTGTTCAGAGGTCGGCCCCAACGTGCAGAAGTGCCGAGAGTGTCGCTTGGATCGCTCTCGTAAATCTCACGAGCCTGCCATCTCACCCGTCTTCTGCCGATTTTACTACTTCCGACGGTTCGTTTTTCTTGTTGTTGGCTACTGTTTCACACCTTTCTTGGGCATATGTGAACTCCCAGTAATCCACTTCATTTAGGTTTTATTTGTTTCATCATTGGTGCGATATACAGTGGAATCCAACTTTAATGAGAGCATACAATCAAGTTTGCATTTGTGAATTTTTAATGGAATCAAGAATATCTGAACTTTTGTAGTATTCACATGGTAATTGTCACAAATGTCACAAAGTGTGAAGTCATATTGTCATTATTTCCTTGTTTTATTTTATTTTATCCAATCAGCAGCAATCGAATAACACTAATTCTTCCCATTCTCTCTTCAGTCTGTCGTTCAGTAGGAATGGCGTTGTCCGTGCGGATGGGTTTTCGGTGTCTGAGCAGACAGATGAGGAGGCGGTTACCGTGTGGACGAGGAGCTCAGAAGATGCCGAGGACAAAAAGAGGAAAGAGATGGACCTTGAAATGTCAAAAACTGTCCTCACGTTCATCGGAGACAAGTTCTGTCAGCTCATAAAGACAGAGGACATTGCTTTCACCTGGGTCAAGAAAGACAGTACGTTTGTGTGGAATGATGGATACACAAAGTCTCTCATTCCTTTTGTCTTTTTCACCTTGTCCTGCTGTCTTTTCTCTCTTTCTCTTTCTCCAGCTCAGATCATGTGGAAGCGAGCGGTGAGAGGTGTGAGGGAGATGTGTGATGCGTGTGAGGCCACTCTCTTCAACATGCACTGGGCATGTCACAAATGTGGCTTCGTGGTTTGCATGGACTGCTACAAAGCCAGGGAGGAGAAGAAACCCAAAGGTCACTTGCAAATACATCACAGATTTTACTATTGATTTTCAATTTTCCTACAAAATTCCCTTTTCTTTTCACCTCTCTGTGGAAGAAACCAGCTTAGAACAATATGCGTGGTTTATACCTGGCATTACTTGCTGACTTATATGGTCTTGCTAACAGGATTCCAGTAGTCAGGGAACACCTGAGGAAATGCTAAAATTGTGATTTCCAGAATAGCTAAGGTGATGGAAATTATTTAAAAAAATGCTAAATCTAAATTAATTTATAGAATCTAATTTCAATAGTCAATCTAATTGTCTAAATCATTTTTTATTTTGAAGTGTATATAGACATTTCTTTTTGTGAGTGCAATCTATATAACATAGATTAGAGTGGAAAACTCAAGAAAAAGTGTGGGAGAACTGTTTTCATTAGTCATCAGTGTTGGGTGTAACTAATTACTAAGTAATTAGTTACTGTCATTTAATTACTTTTACCTTGAAAATGTAAAGTAAGGGATTACTATTTATTTATCTATGTTATAATCTATATATTTTTTCTATTATATTTTTATAATAGAAATATATATTCTATTATAAATAGAATTCTAATAGAAATATATATTCTTTTATAATAGAAATATTTTATAATATAATTTTTTCTATCTATATATAATTCTAAAATATTATATATATTTTTTTCTAATCTATATATTATAATCTATTTATATTTATCTATATAGTAAATACTGTGTATAGATCAATCCGATCTCACAGCGATTCGTATGCATTTTATGAGGTGTCTAAATGGCACGACCGCACTCGTACAAATTCGTATGAATTATTGTAAAATATGTATTAAAAAATGTGTGAAATGTCATGAGATCAGACATAAAACAAAAGTGGGTTTAACATCAGAATGTAGCCTATTGTCTGATGCTAAAAAGTATATTTTTATAATGTAACCTTCTCCACCTTGGTCAGTTTAAGGATAATTCATGCAATTTTATAGTAATTATTTGAAAGAATTAAAACAGATTCATGTCTATTGTTGTATTATTCAGCTGGTTGAGATTGAAATGGGATAGTGAAAGTAATTAGTAATTAATAGTAATTAAATACTTTTTAGAGAGAGTAATTTGTGCAGTAATCTAATTACATTGTTGAAGAGGTAATTAGTAACTAGTAATTAATTACTTTTATAGAGTAACTTACCCAACACTGTTAGTCATGTAGACCAAAACATAACATATCCTGGTCTTTTCAGCACGTTTTTTGGATGTCTTCCCCTCGTAATTTGTATATTTTTCTTATTTTGTCATTCAGATAAGGAGATGTATGTCTGGGTCCGATGCGTGAAAAACCAGCCTCATGACCTGAAGAACCTAATGCCTACACAGATTATACCTGAAACGGGTAAGCATTGGTGTAGTTTGGTGTACTTTTTTGTATCTATATCACATCCTGTTCTTTTTCACCTTTGACTGTAAACCTGATATTAAAAGTAGTGCATTGCCATCTTTTCGTAAGTGTTGATGGACATGCTGAGCTCAATGCACTTGATGAAAGAAAAGTTTGGAATCTCATCCCATTGTCCCAACAAATCCCTCAACCCCAGCATGGCCACTACCAACGGACTCTCACTAGTAAGACTCTAACATCACATGATGATGTATTTTATGGCAAGTCACAAAATTGGTGTAGCTTTACTTGCTTTAGATTTACATTTTATACAAAGTGCCTTCATGCATTTCCTGGGTATCAAACCCATGACCTTGGCGTATGCTTTATTGCTTAAGCTACAGGACTGTTTAGATGCATATGAAGCTGTATAGTTGAATGTATCGCTATTTTATGTAAGTGTTTGTGTGACATCAGCTTTCAGACAGAGATAAGAGTGACTTGAAGAGCCGGCAGATCCCAGATCAGCAGAAGAACTCGCAGCTGAGAGCACACACTGAGAGAAGAGGTAAAGGAAGTGCCTACAAAAACACACCAAACCAAACACAGATCTTTCATCCATTTTGCACTTGCATCTCTTCCATTTAAATCCGAGTTTTCCCTAACAACTAACCAGTCATGTCCACACCTAGCAATGCACAATAAGATGTTTTATTTGTTACTTTTTCACAACTTGCAGGTAGGCTATGCCCCCAGATAAATCTAATTGGTTGAAAAATTTCTCCTTCACAGTGTATTGAGTATCTAATATGTTCTGAGTGGCTTTTTTTTTACTTTTCACAGCATTTTATTTTCATTGGAAAATTAACTTCCTGACACCATTTTGACACATTCTGTGTATTTTCTGAAGAATACATCCTTGAGATGAATGGTTTTAATATGTTCTTGTTTATCCAGAGAAGGCCGAGTGTGACGGTATGGAAGCTCACAGTAGGAAGTCCATGAGCTCCGAACAAGGATCAACATTGCGTGACCTTTTGACCTCCACAGCTGGGAAGCTACGTCTTGGGTCCGCTGGAGGTGCCTTTGCGCCGGTTTTCAACTTGTCGGAACAGGTTTGATATATACATGATCGTTTAAATGAAAATAAAACCTGTTGATAAGTAAACTAGGTTTATTACTTCTATTTATGCTCCATTCTATAGGTAACCCAGAACACTCGCATGCCCAACATCCTGGATGACATCATTGCTTCTGTGGTAGAAAATAAGATTCCCGCTACAAAGATGACCAGAACGGGGCTGAATCAGGATTTGATGCCAGAGGAGGAGATGGGGCAGCGACCAGAGGGGGTGAAGCTTGATGAAAGCCCATTGGCTGATGCCCATACTGCTGTCCCTCACGATTGGCTAGGAAACCACCGGCTGCTTTGGCTCAAAAATCACCTTCACCAGGGCAACCAAATACTGTTCAAAGAGAACTGGACACAAGAGCAGGTTTGCATATCTTACGTTAGTGGCGTATTAACTATATCTCTATTGATACTTGCTGAGAAGGAGATTCATTTACAAGAGAAATTACAGGGAATTAGGGATTTATGACCTCTTGGGATTTAATTACTTGAAAATAACATGCTGTGGGAATCTTGATATCGGTTGATTTTAACAGTTTTTTCAAATGTAAATATAATCTTCATTCTGAAGCTGAAGTTTGTTTGATGTCTCTTTAGCCGGTGCTGGTGTCCGGATTGCACAAAAGTCTGAATGCTAATCTGTGGAAACCTGAACACTTCAGTCATGAGTTCTCCAGCCTCCACAGTGACCTCTACAATTGCAGAGACGGGAGCGTCACGAACTCCAAGGTCAAGGAGTTCTGGGATGGTTTTGAAGATGTGTCGAGTGAGTGTCATGTGTTCTGCATTTATTTCTAATTGGCTGAATATCATTTTTGTTTGACTCTGTGGACTAAATGTTATTTGCATGCTTGTGTATGTGACCCATAGAGAGGCCTAAATCTGCTAAAGGAGAGTCAGTGGTGTATAGACTGAAAGACTGGCCATCGGGGGAGGAGTTTTTGGCACTCATGCCTGCCAGGTACTGCCACCCTTGGAAACATTTGAAGCATATGTTGTCTTTCAGACCTCACTAGTATTTGCATAAAATACCACTTTGTTTTTTTTTTTTCCACTTTTGCTAATGCGTCCTCAGTTTGAATACACTCACACCACTATTTGAATACACCTCCACTCAAGCTTAGAGCTCAGGCATGCAGTAAGAGGGCAACAAGTGCCAGAATTAAAAACGGATTAGGTTTCTCCAAAGATTTCTAGCGATAAATGACCAGCCTTCTAATTAAAGGGATAGTTCACCCAGAAATTTTAATTAAAATTCATCATTTTCATTGATGAAAATTCATCATCATTCATCATGTCATCATTTTCTCACCCTTAAGTTGTTTCAAACCTGTATGAATTTCTTTCTTTTACTGAACACAAAATATATGTTGAAAAATATGGGTAATAGGAAGTCAATGGGGACCATAAAATGTTTGGTTACCAATATTCTTCTCTTGCGTTTAACAGAAGAAAGAAATTCATATCGGTTTGGAACAACTTGAGAAAATGATGACAGAATTTTAATTTTTGGATGAACTATCCCTTTAATGAGAAATGTGGGATTGCTTTTGATTTTGCACACATTTCCACCAGACTCTACATTATTTCTTGATTTGACCAAAAGAGTAACGAAATTACAATTAAAAATAAAAACTAACAATTACAACAGGGGCCCCTAATAAGAAAAAAAAATAATTCACTATAAGTAAGTGCTCAAAATGTTATTAAACCATCAAGCCACATTAAGCAACAAGTATATTATATGCCGATTTATAGTCATCATCATTATAAGAATAAGCAGAAAATATTTTAAGTGTATTGATTGCTATGTTACTTAAATAGTTTTGACATAAATCCTAAATCCAGTTTGCTTTAATGCCATATCTTGTGTGCACATCTCAGATATCATGACGTGATGAAGTCTTTGCCAGTACCAGAGTACACAGACCCAGAGGCTCATCTGAACCTGGCCTCTCATCTGCCCTCCTTCTTCATTCGACCCGACCTTGGTCCTCGCCTTTGCTGCGCCCACGGTATTCTTTCTCTTCTGTAGTCACTGACAGTACTGTTGTGCTCTTTGTTATGCAATGGACTTGATGTTCCTGTGTTTGTTCAGGTATAACAGCATGTCCAGAACAAGATTTCGGGACCAGTAATCTACATGTTGAAATCTCAGACACCATGAGTATTCTGGTATATGTCGGGGTGGCCAAAGGAAACGGAGCCCCATCCAAAGCAGGTACTTCCAAGTAAACATGACATTGTGAGGCTGAATTACAGACATTTTCCTCTTAAATATTAATTTGGCTTTGTAAGTTTGCATTAACATTACCTTATTTAACAGTCAAATCTATTGCTTTTTAAGGGAGGTTGATTTGAATGCAGGAACATCCTGCATATGGAGTTTAACTCAACAGTCAATAGTTTCACATCGATACAAAATCATAATTTGACTACCTGTAACATCATTGCTACAATTATAACGTTGATAATGTCGCTTTTAATGTTAATAATGTTGATAAACAAGGAATAAAAATGTTAATTTAAAAGACTTGAGATTTTCCACTCAGGCTTAGAGCGTGTTTACAGAGTCTTGACAATTGCTAAGAATAAAAACTTTATTGGCGTCCTTTAAAATGCCACCATGAGAGCTTTTAAAAGAATATTGTGAGCGTGAAAGACTCCATTCATTTGGTTGTTAAACCCTTCGTGTGTTAGGTGTATTGAAGCTATTGGAGGGGGAATTTCTGGACGAGAGTGTAAAGAAACGACTAAAAGACCCTAATGAGATGCCAGGTGCTCTGTGGCACATCTACATGAGTAAAGACCTACAAAAGATCCAGGAGTTCCTACAAAAGGTATCACACTACTTGATCATGTAAAGTTTATGACCTTATGCGCTTAAAGGTAAGTAATGAGTTGCCCGAACTAATGCAGTAAAGTATGGTGTGCCACAAGGCTCTGTCTTGGGCCCTTTGTTGTTCTCTTGAATCATGCCATTTTCTTGCATTGCTTTGAAGACGACACAGCTCTGTATTTCCTCTAGATTTAATTAGCTCACTAAACACTTCATAGTTATATTGCTGCTTTAATTGACACCCCTCCCCCAATCATTGAGGATATGATATTTATGCTCTTGTGTGTGCATGTAGGTTGCTGCTGAGCAGCAGACTGAAGCAGATCCCGGGACAGACTCGGACTCGGAGTGGGACGGTGATGCCGACCCCCTGCGTGAGGGAGGCTGGTATCTGAGCCCCAGGCTGAGACAGAAGTTACAGGAGGAATACGGCGTAGAGAGTCGCACACTCCTCCAGTTCCATGGAGATGCTGTTATTATCCCTGCTGGAGCTCTGCACCAGGTACTTTAACACACTCACATTTCCTAAAGCAATCTGTCCTGTGCTCTTGGGGAGGATGGCTGGTTTCTTAAAGGGATACTCCAATATTTTTGGAAATAGGCTCATTTTACAACTCCCCCAAAGTTAAACAGTTGAGTTTTACCGTTTTCGAATCCATTTAGCCGATTTTCTGATATTTAGAAGAATATCAGTAACTAGACCGTTTCTGATCTCATTGACTTCCATAGTAGGAAAAAATATATACTATGAAAGTCAATAAGACCAGAAACTGGTTACTGACATTCTTCTAAATATCAAAAAATCGGCTGAATGGATTCGAAAATGGTAAAACTCAACTGTTTAACTCTGGGGGAGTTCCAAAAAAAGTGGAGTATCCCTTTAAAGCTGTCAAACCACCAGGCAATCAGTATTAAGTATTTCACGCTGTGTCTTTGTAGGTGATGAATCTGCACAGTTGCATCCAAGTGAATGTAGACTTTGTGTCTCCTGAACACGCACACAACTCCTATTATCTAACTCAAGAGCTCCGCCCTCTCAAGGACCAAGTGAACTATGAAGACAAACTCCAGGTACCTCCATCTTCCTAATGTGACCTTATTTTGTCAGTCGATCGTTAAATTTCCATTTCTACCGCATCATGCTGGTAATCTCATGTTAGTGGCGTTGTGCCTCACAGCATTTTCAATTCATTCTTCTAAATTCTGACTTGAGGCTGAAATAGACTATATGATTTTTGCTGCTATTAACAGTTTAACAGAGTACCAGATTTTGGTCAGTCGGAGTTGACCGATTGCACAGAGAATCACATAGTGTAGGATGGGCACAGACTACTATTTTTCTAGCTTTAGACAATGATTCCATCCAGAGGATATCAAACATTTGATATTTAAAACACATATTGTGATCATCTGTCATGGTTTTTTGCAATGCATGTGAACAAGTTTAGAATCGTTTAGTGTATGATGTTGTTTTCCTTCTTTAACCATTTACCAAGTTGGCAAGTATATGAATCCTACTTGCCTAGTGTTGTAGCCCTCAATCGGGTCATGGGGTCTATACGACCCCAATCGACTTTTACTTAATAAGAAAAAGGTTGGAATTCAGTGGAATAAGATTTTGTGACTTTTCATACATTATCTATCAATACACACACAAACAAACTGGGCTTGCTTTGGTTTTTCTGAAGGTATGTAAAAAAAAAAAAAACGTTTACACTTCTGGTCTTCGGGGTCAATATGACCCCACATTGAAATGAATGGGAAATGTGAAAAAAATAAATAAAACTAAACATATTTTCTTCATGTGTCAAAAAAATAAAAATAAAAATAAAAATCCGATACGAATCTGAAAATTTTTACACAGAAATGAAGGCCTAGTACTAGAGCATAAATGCAATGCATCATAAAAAAAATAATATTTCATATGCAAGCTAATGGTGTAGTTGAGGAATTGTGTGGTATATGGATACAAAAGTAGTTTATATCTCCAAAAACACAGCATTAATCAATAGATGAGAAGTAAACAAAAAAAATGATATATTATTTGTATGATTAACAATGTATATTTTTTGTACAATTACTCAATCAATTGTTGGGGTCGTATAGACCCAGAAGTGTAAACAGGAAACGAAGACCATTTGAAGGTAAAATCCGTTCAGACGTTGTATAGTGTATTGCAGCCTTTAGTAATAAGAGGACATGATGTAGCCATAATTGCAGTAACAGTTTTATATTCCCTGATTGTGGTACTTAAAGTTTTCGTAATCCAGTCTAATTAAAATCTGATTGCACAATATATTTTCACCCCTCTTTATTGTCCAGGTGAAGAACATCTTTTATCACTCTGTGAAGGATGCTGTGGCCACATTGAGGAAGCATTTAAAGGAGAAGGACACAGACGAGGTAAAACAGGAGGAGTCCTGACAATGCATCTCCTCCTCTGTCCAAACCCTTGGAGCATAAAGACAATACCAAGATTCTCCAAGAAAGGAAACCTGTGCTAAGACTTGATTTCAACAAAATGGGCCAATCTGATTTCCTCTATGATGTCCCTTTCTTCTCTTTGATTTTATTCTCATTGTTTGACCTTCCCTGCTGTGTCTTCTTGCATGGACAAAGAAGTGAGGTAAGCAAACAAGATTTGCTCTCCAGACAGGTGCAATGAGCTTTAAAGCCCACTCGCCGCACATGCTGAAGGCCCTGGAAAACAATTAGGAAGAAAAACACTGGCAAATACATGTTTTTCCAAAAGTGATAACGATCCGTTACATGTTCTTCATCAGTAGTGTGTTCACCATGCTGTGTTTTGGACGGTTGGAGAGTGCAGAGATCCTAACGCAATCGTTGCAGTATCCCATCACATCAGCAGCTGCCAAACTGACAGGTTTGATTATGTTTCAACAACATTAAATTATTTACAGTTTGGCAAATATTCACTGTGCAGAAGGAGAATATTAAAGAAGTTGCAGTTTATTCTGTGTTTGTTTGAAAAAAGATCTTGTGAAATTTTCAGCTGAAATGTAATATGTAAATAGCAGAATATACATATATAAATATATATATATATATATTAATTATGATTTGCTGTGTGTTGTTTGCTACTGTATGTAAATTGAAGTTAAAGAAATGTTTTACATTTTCCATTAAAAATGGAATAATCAAAAAAAATTGTCTTTCAACGGTTTACGTGCTCTGTTAATATTAATTAAAAAAAAAAAAAACAATGAAAGATTATTCATTCAGTTTTTTAGGTTTAAATCAAAGGGATAGTTCACCCAAAAATGATTTACTTATTCGGGTGTTGATTTAATGCCGTATGACTGTTTTAAACCACAGAAAATAACTCAATAAAGTGGCAGTGAATGGTCACCAGCTTCAAGATTTAACAAAAACAGTGTTTTGAGGCTTTGGAGAAAAACAAACCAAAATTTATTTCGTTATTTAAGCAAAAATCCTGACCTGGGCTGTTGGTATTCTGTGCTTGACTGCATGTTTATGAGACTGAGAACCAGCTAGAAGTCACTTTCACTTCACTGCTCTCACACACAAAAAACTAAGCAGAATGAAGTTTTTAGATAAATGCTGCTCAATTTTGAGCTCTACACATATCAATAATATGGCATAAAGCATTAGCATCACATTTTACATCTGTGATGATATTTCAGATTGAATAACAAGAAAAAGGGTTTTCCTATTTAATCATTATAATTACATGTTCAATAAGAAAGGAACATTTATCTATTTAAAAAAAAAGAGTAAATAAATAGGGTCAACTTTTACCCAATATTGACATTCTAAACAACTGTAAACTGAGTAAAGTTCATGCCCTCAGTGTCTGCTTTCATGCTCTCAGTGTTCTCCACGGCTCAAAAGTTTGAGGTAGTGTAGTGTATGCAGGATTAGCTGTCATTTGCCATCTCCAACAGCAGCTGGATCTGGTTCTGGAGGTCAGAGGGCACGTGCAGGAGCCTCATACCCAGCGGTGAAGGTTGAGCTAGAGAAGCTGTGGGGCTCTGATGCTCCTCATAAGGGTCTCTCCTCAGACTAGCATTCTCTGCCTTCAGTTTCTGCTGTTCCTCCATCAGTCGCTTGTTCTCCACGAGCAGGACGGCCATGAGCTTCCACAGGTCAGCGATGGCAGTGCTCTGCTCCTCCAGTCGAGTCTTGTCATCTTTGGCAGCCTTCCAGCCGAGCGGAGGACTTTGGACGACTGTTTGACCGGGGCGCTGTGTTATCAGGGATGAGCTGTGTTTGGAAGGGCTGACCGGGATCTTTCCTTTGAGTTTGGCCTGTTTGCAGCTCATCTTGATCTGGCGCTGCTGTTGGAGATGTCTGTCTCTCTGGAGCTCTAAAGACAGCCGTACCTTGATATATATTAAAACATGGTTAAAATTACTGTACTTTACAACAAGAAAAGGTACAGTACATACATGTAAAAGTATTCATTGTAAAATAACTTTCATTTTAGCTTGTCGCTTTTTGCAATTTCTTACTTTTTGTACAGTACAAATTCAGGAGAGGTACATTTCTATAGACATGAGCCTTAAAAATGAAGTCACATTTTCATCTGTTTTATTTTATGTGCATTTTGGGATATCAGATTAAAAAAAAAAAAAAAAAACACTGGAAAAAGTGTTTTCTCATGCGTAAAAAAAAATTACGGATAAGTTAGTATTTGTATAATATGCTTCCATCAGGGTCAATCTACAAATTACACATCTTATTATTTACAAAAGAAAAGTTTGAGATTTTTGTGATATACTCAGTTATCACCATGCCTCATAAACTATATTTGGATATTATTAAATTCTTTTCAGTCGAAAAAAAAGTTTAAGTTTTATAAACTCAAATGCTCGCCTTGCTCTGTTCTGTGTGACTCTCCTGTTCGAAATCTTTTTCCGAGTCAATTCATTCATTTCGTTCGTTGAATGAACCAAATGACACAAAAAAAGATTCGTTCATTTTGATGAACAAGTTTGAACAGGAAAGTCAGGAACGTGCATCACAGAACAGAGCAAGGCGATCATTTGAGCTTATAAAACTTAAACTATGTTTTGTTGTTGTTGTTTTTACATGAGCGATCGTTTCGCTTTATAAGACCCTGATTCATCAGCTGGAATCGTTTAAAGCCCTTTGAACAGTTTGCGGTTTGCACTGAAACTGTCTTTTGGACCTTGAACCGTTTGGTGCCCAGTAAAGTCCATTATATGGAGAAAAATCCTGGAATGTTTTCATCTTTCATCTTGGATGACATGGGGGTGAGTAAATTATCAGCAAAAGTTTTTTTTAAAGTGAACTCCTTTAATACGTAAGTCTACGCAATGGCAGACCGTTGGAATGGAGTCACACTTGTCGTAAACCTTGTCTTACCGGTTCAGTGTGTGTCATTGAGGCCTGGTTCAACAGCTCTGAGCAGAGAGAGAGAGAGAGACAACGACATTAGTTTACTCCTTCATTTATCTTCCTGTAGCTTTACCAGTTCTTCGTGTGTGGATTATCTGGAAAACAAAGGGGGCTTAATTACTTCACCTGCTGCTTCACTGTGGCATAAGATCGCCTCTTCATATTTTTCTTTCGCCACCAACTGATCTGCCTTTCGGCCGTAATGATGGGCCTGTAGTAAAGACAACTGCCATGTTTTCTGGGGAAAGAGGGTTACATGATTTAAATAAGTATGTCCCGCTTTATATTAGGTGTGTCATTAACTATTATCTATTTACATAAAATTATGTTAGGTACAATGTAGTTAGTTATGGTGTTCATGTATTGCAAAACACTTTAGCTGCGATTGCGGTGGGATACGGACAGGTTGGTTAGGATTAACGTGTAAGGGAAGGTCAACAACAGTGTTATTATAGATGTAATTATAGATATTAACAGCTGTAATTTATCAAGTACAGTGTAAAAACCAAAACACGTATTGTACACAAGTACATTGTATCAAATCATCTCTCTGGTTGTGTTCCGGTCATTTTGAGCAGGAGAGAATTTTCCTTTTCTCGAAAATAATAGTTAACGTCATCGCATTGGACCAAAACTTCCTGACTTTACTCTCCTAGTTCCACAAAAATCTTTGAGGATTTTGAGAAATCACAAAGAGTTCCAAAAATAAATAGCAAACCTGTTCTTATTTTTATGAAAACAAGTGGACAAAAAGATTGAAACCAAGATTTGGTGATTGTGGTGTATTCTCAGGAGCTAGTAAGTCACGTGATGTGATGTTCACCTGTGATGTGTGACCATTTGGATGTGACGCGTGTTTGAACCATGGTTTGAACCGGAGTATCAGTAAAGTGTGCTTGAAGGCATTTGTTGGTTGTTTGCATTGTCAACACACAACAGTGAATATTATAACGAGTGATTTACAAGCTAATTTTAAAAGGCCGGTTATTTTTGACCAGGATCGAACACAAAAAGTAACAGGCTTTCAACACAGCAGGGTTAAATGTTAAACATATTTGTAAAAGTGTTCAATAATTAAGTTTATGCTTGAGTCTTAAAACAGTGACTATATATAAGGATACTTTACCACGTGTCAGACAAAACATTTCTTAACTCTTAAAAGAACATACTGTAAGCCAGTTATGATTTTGGAAATGTTGAACAATCGTTACAATATTTAGCTTTTTTTTTTTTTTTTTTTTTTTTACCAACTTATTTATTTACTAAACCTAAATAAGCTATTGACAGAAGGCTCTTACAAATTAACACTTGTTAATCACATTAAAAGCTTGAAGTGGAACATTGTGCGTATTTAAAACTTCAAACACACCAAGCCTACGGAAAAACATTCGTTTTTGTTTTTTTTATCTTTATTACCCCAGTTACTACAAGTTGCCAGAACATTTATAGAGTTATACAGTGGTAGCCTACATATCACTTACAAGATTTAGAAGGCTGTCCATCTCTTCCATTTTTGTTTCATCCCCTTGTTTGACAGATTTAATTATGTTTAATTCCTTAATTTTACTGCGAGGACTCGCCACAGAAACAGTGGCCGTGAGTGGACGGACACCTTGCGCAACTACACGCGCGTGTTTGTTTGTAGTGACCTTTACAGCCTGTGGTAGTGACGTCAGAACGAGAACGGAAGCCGGACTCCACAGTGTATGACGCCATCTCCTGGACAACACCGGTGCATCACACTAATATCAGACATGAGGAGAAAATACTATTGCGTGCGTAAATATTATGGAATGCTTTGTTTTAGATGAGCAGCAGTGCATTACGAGGCTTTGCGTCACATGTAGGCTATAAATGAATCGTTCTCACGACATAACTAACAAGAGCAATCACAGATGCTACTCTACACAATATCACAATATTTGATAGATCTCTATGGGCCCGTTTCACAGACAGGGCTTAGACTAAGGCAGGCCTTAGTATATTCAGGATAGTTAAATTGCTTTTATAAAAGTGTCTTCTTGAGGCAATACAATAGCACTGACTGACATATTTTAAGATATCAGTGCAAGTTGCTTTCAGTTAAAACAGCTCAAACATTCATTTTAGTCTGGGACTAGATTTAAGCCTTGACTGTGCGATAGTAAGTGCTATGCAAAATAGCACTTAAAGTATAGCAATTAAAGATAAGGATACTGTATATATATATACATATGCAGTATTGTGTTTTCATCAGCCAATTTACATGTTATAGTGATATTCAAACATTATTTCAACCTCAGTATTTTAACTTGGATGATAATGCAGTGATCACTTGTTTGCAGATTTTCTTGGCACTAAATTTTGTCACAACTGATCTATTCAGAATCCATTCCAAACATACTGTAACAAGGCTGAAATAATGTAATGTTTGTGGTTAGAGACAATAATAATTACTTAGGGGTAATAGTTTAATCATTCAACTGTTTTGGGGGTCTATTTTCGGTAGCACTTTAATTTAAAGTTAAGAGGTCAGAGGTCACTCTTCCACCGGTACAGCCATTGTCAGATGCCAGTGATTATGGTTAATAAAGTTATAAATATTATCTAAAAATGAGTTATAAATAGATGTTTCTTACAAAACCACATCTCTTCACTCAGAAGGTGTTTATTACCCCACAGGAGCCGTATGAATTCCTTTTTATGATGGATGGATACACTTTTCTTGGGCTTCAAAATCTAAGGTACCATTCGATCCCATTATAAAGCTTGGAAGAGCAATGTTATTTATTAATATAACTCTGTTTGTGCTTGACTGAAAGAAGAAAGTCATATACATCTAGAATTGAGGGTGAGCAAATTATGGGATAATTTTCCTTTTGGGTGAACTAATGTGATGTAGTTACACGTTACTTTATGTGCTTACTTTCGTAATGTATATTATGCAAAATTACATAGCTAACTCTAAACCAAACCCTAACCATAATTTATAGTAAGTACATGTAGTTAATTAATATTACTCAGTACTTATCTGGAGTAAGTACAATGAAACTGTCAACTTATACTAAAGTGTAAGCCTATTTTCTGTTTAGTCTCTTTTCATCTGATATCATTGATTTTGTAATTCAGTGTAACACATTGTGATAGGTTGATTTGGATGTTTTATTGAATATGTAGGCTGGTGTACTCCAGCATGAGCACACTGGGGGTGGATGTTTTGTCTTTAACCATTCAAAGAGTCATCTGCGCAATATCTGCTGGCAGAACAGCTGAAATAAGACACAACATGAACAATAACATCCAATCAGTTCAAGTTCCGTCATTTGTTATAATACTCAAACACACACCACCTTCACACAGATGAAGCACATAAAGTCATGGAAAATGAGAGTGATAGTGGGATTTCAGCTGGCCCATGTTGATTTTCCATCTAATGATCCACGCTCCCCATCTTCTCCCTGCTGCTGCTTTCTGTCTTTGTTTCTTGGTGATGACATGGGCAATACCATCAAACTATAGGGCTTGGTCATCCATCTTCCTGCTCTTTCCTCCTACGCACGGGGAATTTTGCGTGATGGGGGTTCACTGATCCCTGTGAAAAAAACACAACTGGAGCTTCTTATCCAGGAATACTTGGCTTGGGTTATTATTGCATGCTATATATCTGCTTAGAAGTTTATATAACTGTAAAATTGCATTTAATGAATACTTATATTAATAAAAAAAATATTTAAAATGTATATTACATTTATTTAAAATACTTGGATATTAAAATAGAAAATGTGTCTTGGTGATTTACTGAAATATACTTTAAGTTCTAAAATACTAAAACTAATATTAAAATAAATTAAAGCTAAATAGTAAAAATAAAAATGTCTAAAACTTTAAATATATACAGTATATATAAAACAACTGAAATTATTGAAATAAATGCTAATTCAAATATAATACAAAAATACAATAAAATACTACACAGAGATTAATGATTATTGTTTATATACATATTATATTTACTTTCTTATTATTATTTTGTGTATGAATATTAATATAATTATTAATAAAACAACAACATACTGTATGCTACAGCACTTGTGACTTTTGTTTTTGTATTTATTTATTTTTTTTATGACAAAACTGTTATAAGGCAAGGCAAGTTTATTTATATAGCACATTTCATACAATGGCAATTCAAAGTGCTTTACATAGAAGAAATTAAAATAATCAAAAAAATCTGAATAATTAAAACAGTTTAGAATAAAAAAAAAACATGTTCTAACTACCTGCATAGTCACATTTTCCTAATTAAACATTTAAATAGACTAATATGAATTTAAACGTATTTTACTGTACATTGAGCATCTGTGGGACACTTTATACTTTATACAGCTATTGCACACCCATAAACAACTAATGATTCTGGTATAGTTTAATAAGAGACAATAATACGGCGTCATTTCTTAATTGTTAATTGCAGACTGTGGCTTGTTCTCCAGCAGTGGATTAAACAGTAATTTAGTTGCTGTATCATCTTGAGCTGTATGTGCATGCAGGCAAATCTTTGTGCTTTTGCTGGACGGCGATTCTGAAACATCAGCCAAAATCGTAATGACCAGCCTGCAGTCAGGCTGTAATGTTCTGGCCTGGCAATGTTATACCTAAATAAATTGCACTCCATGCTATCAAATAGCTTGATTACTGAGAGCTTCCATTCATAAAAATGGAGATTTGTAAATCAAGTAAGAATCACATCTTATTACATTTTGAATTAGAATAAATTAGAGCTTTTTTTAATAATCAATTCTTAAAAATCTGAGACGCACAATATGGCGGAATAAGTCCCGCCTTCTAAATAAAAGAGCCAATCGCTGATTGATAAAGTCAGGTGTGACTTCACTGTCAGGGCCAATAGGGATTCGGCAGTTAGCATCACATCACACCTGTTCCCTCTCTCTTTACGTAAACCTTTTTTCAATAGGCTTTTAGGTTATCGGGTTAGGTTAAAATAAAAAAAAAAAAAGATAATGTTCACAGATGAACACAACTTTTGAGAATGTTGAAGCCTAAATGCAGTCGATAGGAAGTAAAAAGCTAAAGGTAAGCTATAAACGATACACCACGGTCACACGACTTCAATGTAAATCCATTAAGCTTCCGACAACACTTTGGGTTTTTATCTAAAAACATTTTCCCAGAAAGTTTGACATTTTGAGCACGATTATTAACATAACGAGGATGTTAAAGCGGACCGGGATTACCTGTTTGGTGTGGTGACGTTTAACGTTAACATCCCTCGCGCGTTTAGGACTGCGCATTGGCTCGCCTGAAAAATACGTTTTTGTAACGCTATTTGAGAAAACGAAACAACATTTATGGACCAGTTCATGTCAGAGTTTGTTAATGACTTTAAATATGTTTCTTAATTGGCCGTTTGGCAAGCGGTTTTTGAGTTTTCAAGATTCCCATATAAAAGTAGAGGACTTTTATCTTACATGCCAGAAACAAATAGTTCTCCGGAGGCGTTGCAAGACTGTCAGACTTTGCTTGAAAGGGACTTTGGTTTGAGTCAAGTCACCTTTATTTATATAGCGCTTTTTACAATACAGATTGTATCAAAGCAGCTTCACAGTGATAACATGAAAATAATTCAACATAGATCAATAATATTGTTAAATATTAAAATTTCCACAACTAAGCAAGCCAAAAGCCAAGGCAACAGTCGTGGCTAGGAACCAAAACCCCATCAGGTATTCACTTCAGATTTACTCAAACTTCAGATTTAGAAGTTTCACAGAGGTCTTCAAAGCTCTGCAGTCAGGTGTTTGATGGAGGTGGCCAGTGTTGGGAAAGTTACTTTTAAAAGTAATGTTTTGCAACAATTATTATAATGTAATGTGTTATGTTACTTTTGTGTTAGCTACTTTTTCTTACCTAGGCTGGGCTTGAAATGAAATAATAAAAAAAGGAAAGTAACTTGCTGTACTTATGTTATCAGATATTTAGTTGTAAATTTAAAAGTAATATGATTAACACTTTATTTTACAGTGTCCTTGTTATATGTTACATGCAGTACTATAGTAATTACTATAAACTGCATAATTACAAAATAATAATACATTTTATTTATAATCTGCTTTTCTTATACCCAGCGCAACAAGTACAGTACAAAAGTACACCCATAAATTTTTTTTTACAACTAACCTAAACCAAACCCTTATAGTATGTGTTTCATTTGTATTACTCGGCACTCAAATGTATAATTACACTGTAACACGGACATCTTAAAGTATAACCATAATATGTTACTTTAAAAGTAATCTGATTACTTGTAATGCGTTACCCCAACACTGGAGGACGCTACATATTACTATATCAAAAGTTTTAAAAAGTGATCAAAACTGAAACGTAAGATAATGTTGCAATTATCCGAGTTGGACCCCCGTCACTAGAGGGTCAGCTGTTCGGGAAGCCACGCCTTTAGAGGACGAGAGACGCTGGCCTCCCCAAATCCCACTCATTACCATACCAGCTTCAGTTTGTGAGGGTGTTTGGAGGTGGGAACAAGTGCATTGTCCAGGGTTTCTGAATGAATAGAAAAGCATATGAAGAGATGTAGAAGACCATATCTGATCAGTGTTGGTAGTGTAAGGGTACACACAGCAGAAGAAAGCCGTGGAGGACCTGGACGAGAGAAAAGATCTACGTTGATGTTTCTGGCCATGAAAATCAAACACATCTTCTGCAGAATGCAGCCGTCAAGAATGGTAAGTGTAAAACTTACAATTGCAGTGTTTTAGAGGAATGCATGAGTGTGAAAAGAGTTGAAAATTATGAGTTAATATTTAGATATAGGAGAGAGATATAGGTATAGATATTTAAGATAAAGGCCTTCTGTTCAAATGTTTGGTCTGGTCAGTAAGATTTTATTTTAAAGAAATGAATACTTGTTTTCAGCCAGAATACATTCAGTTGATCAAAAGTGAAGGCAAAGACTTTATTTATTACAAAAGATTTTGATTACAAATGAATGTTGTTCTTTTGGTCTTTTAATTCATCAAAGAATACTGAAAAAAATGTAATTCCACATTTGTATTACACAAAAAATATTAAGTAGCACAATCATTTTCAACATTAATATTAAGAAATATTTCTTGAGCACCAAATCAGCATATTAAGATTATTTCTAAAGGATTATTCAGATTTGCTATCACATGAATAAAATGGGGAAAAGAATTCACAATACTATTTTTACTATAAATCCTTACCAACCCCACACTTTTATATTCATTCTGCGATTTCTCCTAAACTTATTCATAAACTTAAGTTTAATTTCAAATTTGGAAACTTGTACCTTTATATAAGTATTTATCTAAATTAAAATTTAGTTATTGCAAAAAAAAAATTGTAATTTAAATAAATAATCTAGTTATTATTCTGTTTCTTTGTGAATAAAACAACTGACAATATAAATGAGCAATTATCGAAACATGACTAAATTAGACGAGTAAAAAGATTCAGATGGAAGTGTGTACAGGCCTAAAGGGGTGATTTATCAAAAAACTGCATTTAACAGAGGCGTTGTTGTGTTATAAAAAAACGAATAATGAGTTTTGGAGAAATCAGAGAGTGACGTTTGATTAATCGTCGTGTGCAGGGGTCACCAAACCCCCACGCAACACCAAAGCCAACGCAAACAAAATGGGCTGTGAACCCGTCCCAACATGGCGCTGCGTGGGCGAGCGAGGCATAGAGGGCATAAGAGGGGCACAAAGGGAGGGGGCTGTTGGGACGGGGGGTACCAAACAACCCGCCGAAATAATCTACCATCTGCTATGAAGAATACACTTTATTAAAATGTGTATTTTTTTAATATAGTAATCAATTTTCTCATTTTTAATATTTTCGCTATCATTTTTGGTCATATTTCTGCTATAACTGGTTGTCTTGTGAGTTATATAAGTATTCTGTCTTTCACAGCGCCAATTAACTTTTCCTATAGTGAATAGCAGCACTGACACAATAGCAAGAAATTTTTGTGTCTGTAGGCGTAAGACAAAGGAAGCAAACATTTGTGCTGCCCCCAACAATTTTGAGAGTGAATAGATGTTTGGCTTTTGTGAGAAACATGCTATTCATTTAACAAGACACCTGAACTCACAGATCGTAATAACAGACTGAGCTGTCCAACACTTCAGTTAAACCCAAGTGAAATTTTGAACTAGAAGGCAACAGATTTTTGAACAGGTTTTTGCAGACGGCAAACATCTGATTCTCTGAATGACTGACAGCAAGCTGTTAAGAATCACTCAGACTGAATGCTGGAGGATGTTGCAGAGCTGATCAGGCACGCTATCAAACACCACATCAGAGATGACAGGAAGGGAAGTGTGTGTTTAATACTGAGGACCTGAATTCTCATTAATGAGACGTCATTACACACTACGGCTTTACAATTCCAGGTATAAAAACTCTTAAATACAAGGTTTGTTAGGGTTCTTAACTCAATTACAAAACTGTTCATGCCAAAAAGGTTCTAAATAAGTGTTATAACGTTCCTGAGACTTAACAAATACACACATACAATTAACTTTTTTGGCACAAAAAGTTCCTGAGGTTAAAAATGAAATTAATTAAATAAACAAACAAGCGAGGGAACGAGTGAAAAAAACACCTAAAACCGCAACTAAAAATGAAATATATAAACAAGAGAGGAAATTAGGGAAAGAAAAACACCTAAAAATGCATCCATTAAATTTAATAAACAAACGAGGGGAAAATAGCCAAAATTGCACCTAAAATGTCATTTAAATAAATAAATGAACCTTTTGGCACTAAAAAGTTGATCAGACAGTCAAATAAATACAATACTCCACCAGATTTAAAAATAATAATACATTAATGTGTTATTTCAGTCTTAAGTGATAAATTATTTATTGATCTGAACAGTTTAATTCACTTTTGGATGATGTTTCCAAATATGTGGAAGCCCGGTTTTGCCAGTATAGATGAATACAAATGTTTAAGGCTTATTCTTTTCATATTAAATCTGACTAGGATCCGTTAAATAAGATCTTGAGAGCTGGGTTTTTGCACTGATGCGCAGAAGCTCAGTCAGCATGCAGAGCCGGTGCCTGTGGGCGAGTGAATGGGAACAGAGGCAGGGGGAGCCTGTACTGAAGCAGATGCAGATCTATTCAGAGAGGCTTCACTTGCGCTAGGACTCCATGGAGAAGGGGCTGTTCCATAGTGTGGGTGGCTATGAATTAGGCCTCAGTCGCACATACAGCAAACGCTCTGTTGCTCATGCTGCCACGGATCAAAATAGAACGTGGTGGCAGGAAAACAAAAAGTGACGAAAGGGATGATGAAGAGCCGAGGACGGCATTGCGTGTGTCAGTCATACTAAGGGGGAACATAGAAGAATAAGATCTTCACTGTGAACGTTTAAGACATGAGTGGAATCTTGTATAACGTCAAATCGTATTCACTTTATAGCCCTTAATCCTGTAATTGTGGACAAATGTGGGCACAGAGGACTCAGGTGTGATCCTAATTTTTATTTATTATAAATGTTATATCACTGTCTTCGATAAAGTTTTGTCTATCCATTTATGGTGTTTTTATTTTTTATTTTGGGGATATTTTTTGAATTTATTTACTTCAAAAAGTACCATATTTTCTATGTAAATAATGCTTATTTTTATGTTTTATTTTTTAATTTATTTTAACTACATTAAAATATCATTCCAATAAGTTCTTCGAGCTAAAACCTAAAGATGAAATGACTTTGCTGTCACCTGGTGTCTTATTTTGGCTTATTTTAGAATGCTCTAAATTACAGTTTTTCCTATTCATTTCTATGGGTGCCCATTTTTGACCCAAATACAAGATTATGGATGTTGTTGTTTTCTCACGCACTTAACATTGTAGAGTTGAGTAAAACAAAATGTGTGTGTTTAGGTGGCAAACTTAGGAAAAGTAGCCAAGTCTTGTACCGCTCAGATCAAGGGAAGTATTTTTTTTTTTTAAATAAATCAAAACTATTTTGCCCACATTTATCCAGAATACGGTTTTAGGGTTAAAAAAGTTGAAAATTGCTTTGATGAGCTTAACTTTAAAGCAATGTAAAAACATGTCAATGTCATAACTTATTGATCATATATATATATATATATATATATATATTTTACATTGTATTGTAGCCTATGCTATATATAGCTATCTAAATGCCTATCAAGTGACATTTGGAGACCAAATAAAATCTAATAGTGCTTGCAATGAGGTCTTTTTTTTAATCTTTCAAAATGCTGTGAAAGACGAAAATATAGGTAAATATTTAAATTGTTTGCAACCCCTAAACATTGCCAACCCAAAGTCTATTTTTCACTCATAAAGATGTTTAATCACAATAGTCGTGACTTGTTATAGAGGAAAAAACGTTCTGTATATTAATACATATGTTTCCTTAACGCTCTAGAAACTAGAATAACTTTCCAACATATTCAAATATCACTTTCCTAAATCTCGTTTATTGCGGTTCTTCCGTGGGACGTGAGCTCGGCGCGGCTCGTTATTTTCCGTGTCGAGTTTCCCGGATGCGTCCCATATAAGGCAAAAGGGGCGTGTTTGAGATTTCCGGATAATATCCATTTATGGGATGCCTCGTAACCGGAATTCCTGATAATAACATGCAGCAAAAAGTTAACAACAATCATCTAACTGTTCACACAGACCACAAATATAGGCTAGCCTATTTAAATATAACAACAACATATCCAGAACATTTTTATTTAAAGAAAAGAATAGTAATGTCAGATTCAGAAATATTATGTCTAAAAAGAGAGGTCGTGTCATCACATGGCCAGAAGCAGAAAAAAGAAAAAAGAAAAAAAGCCCAACCCGTTTTTCTGTCCTTTTATGGTCAGTGACGTCACTGGACATTGACAGGCGCTTCATAAATGCATTCTACGAGATAAAGTTTCACTTATTGCCGCGGCATATACTGAAGGGAGCTGATGAGCTCTAACAACCCCGATGCGTGCGTTTATGATGAAGTGGGCACGTTTATAACACATCAACTAGATCATAAAACGCTCTGAGAACAACTTAATAAAATTCAACCTGCTTTTTTTTTTTTTTAACAACGAGGATTAAAATGACAGCAACAGCTAGCAGAGATCAAATTAACGCGTCGCTACATGATTTAATGCGCTGTCTGCCATCACACATCTACTCTCTGGATGAGAGTCCCTCATCAGTGCCGATGGGATTCTCTGATGTTTGTTCTGAGCAGTTCAGTGAGGCGTCGGGAGGTAAGAATACTGTAGAGATGCTTGAATATTAAAATGAATAGTCACCATGGGCTGTTGCTCAATAACATTTTTTTTAGCAGTGCTTTATAAGTTAAATTCAAACAACTTGTTCAAAACTTAGGGTTGTTATTTTTAGTATAGATTTACAAAATATAAGTACCCTCAAATTCTTTTACAAAATATAAGTAAAACAGCATGCGTGACAATGACAGTACAACCTTCATTTAGGCTACTCTTGCCTTGCATGCCATGTTTTACTTATATTTTGTAAATGTATTTAGCTGTCAAAACAATTAATCGGTAATAATCGCATCTAACAAAAGTTTTTGTTTACATATTATGTGTGTGTGTGTGTGTGTGTGTGTATGTATATATATATATATATATATATATATATATGTGAGTGTGTTAGTGTGTAGGCTATAGGCCTACACATAAATCACTATAAAAAAGTTGCTGTAATTTTCTTAAGCACAATCAAAAGTAATTTCAAATTAAATTCGTCAAAATGAGTGAAATCTTGCATAACTTGAAATATAAGTTGAAAATTGCAAATACAAAAACATGTTGTCACAACTTATTGATCGTAAATTTTTTAAATGAATATATTTATATGTATTTAGATATATACACACACACACACACACAGCCATATACATATAAAATTAAACTTGTAAACACAAACTTTTATGTTAGATGGAATTAATCAATTTTACAGCACTAAAATGTATACAGTTTATTACTGATTACAATTTGTTGTCAAACAATAGTTTGATGTATCTTTTACTTTTTTGTTGCTTTTATTGATTCCTTGTTTATTGTTTACTGTTTATATTGCGATGAAAAGCCTATAATATTCTGTTTAAGTCAGGTCATGTTGTCTCAAAAAGTGAACGGAAATGTTCAATAGCATTTTACTTGGGTATAAACTGACTTTCAAAAATTAACTCAAGAAACACTGGAGAAAAAAATCTGTGATAGGCTTTAGCCTCTTATAACAGGCCAATTAATTAAAACATTTATATCTTCAAAGATTTCTTCGAAGAAAAAAAAAAGATATTTGCAGAACGATGTTAAGTTCACTTAAAGAAAACCTAAGCGGTAATAAAATTACTACTATATTTACATAAAGTATTCTTTAAAGTGTACTTTCATAAACAAAAATGGGTTAAAAGAAGTAATTAAGTCTACCTTAAGTTAACTTTTTCTTTAGTATTGCAACTATACAACTATGCGATCCGTCCAATCAGAATACAGAGAAATATACTTTGCCACCTACATACCAACAATCTTTTAAAAATGAATAGCTGACTGAATATGTCTAGACTAGAGAAGATCCCACTCGGTGGAAACACGATTTGCGGGATATACATTTCACTTATAACGCAATAAGGAATTGCTCAATCTATAAGTTTTGCTTTGACTTTTCCAGGTTGCTTGAGCACAGACTGCTTCAGTGTTGAAAAACGGGGCCTTGATCTGCCAGACCCGAGCAAGTTTTCTCCTGTCGCCTACACAGGAAAGATATCCATTGACGCACAAGGAAGTTGGAACCACGAAGGAATAATCAATTTTGTCAGTGCAGGAGTACAAGATAGGCCACCTTCCTCGGGATCATTCTCCACGGGCTCTCCCGCAGGTCCCACTCCAGACTGCTCCAAAATAGGCCAAACTCTTTCCAATATGGAGCATATATACACCGGCCCGCCCCCTTACACCTGTAGTGCCGATGGATACCAGGACCCCTCGGCCTACCTATCAGCCACCACGTGCCCCATAACATACGCCACTCCGTCGTACTCGGCCCCAAAGTCAACCCTAGACGGGGCGCTTTTCTCCATCATTCCCGACTATGGAGGTTTCTATCAGACCAGCAACAGCCAAAGGGACAACATGGCTGCATTTCAGGACATTAAGCCATTTTCGTGCTCTTTGGAGTCTATTCGAGTCCCACCACCTCTGACTCCCTTGAACACCATTAGGAATTTCACTCTGGCGTGTCCGGTTGACGGGTCAAGGCCGCCTATGGACGGTCACGGCACCAATCCGCAAAACGTCCCACTCAGGCCAATACTGCGGCCACGGAAATACCCGAACCGACCGTGCAAGACGCCGGTCCACGAGCGCCCGTATCCCTGTCCGGCGGAGGGATGCGACCGGAGGTTCTCGCGCTCGGATGAGCTCACGCGTCACGTCCGCATCCACACCGGACACAAGCCGTTTCAGTGCCGCATCTGCATGCGCAGCTTCAGCCGGAGCGACCACCTCACGACTCACATACGCACACACACGGGCGAGAAGCCCTTCTCCTGCGACTTCTGCGGCAGAAGGTTCGCGAGGAGTGACGAGCGAAGGAGGCACACAAAAATCCACCAGAGACAGAAAGATAAAAAGGTGTCGGCGCCCCCTCACAGCTCGAGCGCCGATGCTACAGTGATGTGAACTAACAGTCCAACTTCTGACTGCTGGGTTAGTCGTTGCCCCAGTTAAACCTGGAACTATCGCTGTGTTTGTGTGCGCAGAGATACCAAGGCAGCTTATGAATTAAGTGTTGAATGTGGTTTGTTTGTAGGCTAGCTAGACAACGTCCTTATCACAGAATATTTCATGTGGTTCAAAATGCAGTTGTTCTGAGATAGTGTTTACAGTGAGTATTTTTATTACTGTTGAACTTGTGTGTCTTAATAAATTGTAATAAACACAAAGTCTATTTTCTGAGAATCAGCTTTCCAGTGAGAGTGACAAGTGCCGCATGGTATTGCAAGGTTTGACCACTAGAGGTCACGATTGAGAAACAAATGTGTGCAGCTATACGATTAAATATTAGGTCCATATACAGATACACTTCTGTTCAAACTGTTATATTTAGCAACGGTGCGTTAAATTGATTTTAACATTAATAATAAGAAAAAATGTTTCATGAGCAGCAAATCATATTAGAATAATTTCTGATGGATCATGTGACAATGAAGACTGGAGTAATTATGCTGAAAATTTAGCTTTGCATCACAAGAATAAATGACATTTTAAAATAGAAACGTTATTTTAAAATGTAATAATATTTCACAATATTATTACATTTTAAAATAGAAACGTTATTTTAAAATGTAATAATATTTCACAATATTATTGTTTTTTTCCTGCATTTTTGATCTCATAAATGCCGCTGTGGTGCCCATAAGAGACGACTTTCGAAAATGATTTTCTAAATAATCTAAAAATGTATTTAAATAAATCAACAAGACCAGTTACCATTGCATCTTTTATTAGTTTTTAAGTTTACTAAAGGGAAAACAGAACTTTAGTTTCTTATGTAAAATCAATGTTACAATCTTCATAATATTTTAAAAGTTTCATTTTTCCATTCTTTTTTTTTTTTACTTACATCTTGGCTAAGTGCTTTACCGTTATAATTATCAGGAGTGTTCAAAATAGTATCCAGTGCCAAGAGAGTGTTACTAAACATTTCTGAGCCAGATTGCAGTTAGCATAGCATAATGCATTAAAACAATATCCAGCAATGGAAACAAGATTATCAGATTCCAGCTCTGTTCAACTATCGTGAAGCCTTTGTTAAACCTAATCACACATCTGCAACAAATATTTAAATATTTATCACATGCTGTGTGACTCCAGGCAACAGACCAGTAAAGAACAGAACTGATCTTTAGTTAAATCTGCACAAAAATAATAACCAAACAGCAGCAGTGGATTGACACAGGTATTTCAAATAACCATCTGTCTTGATAAAAGTACCCATTCTGACGTATTAAAGGGACAGTTCACCCAAAAATGAAAATGTCATTATTTACTCACCCTCATGTTGTTCCAAACCTGTATGAGTTTCTTTCTTCAACACAAAAGACGATATTGACATGTTTTTTTTTTCCTACTATAGAAGTCAATGGCTACCGTCAATTATCTGGTTACCAACAAATTCAAATTGGTTTGGAACAACATGAGGCTGAGTAAGGCATGACAAAAGTTTCATTTTCAGGTGAACTACACCTTTAAGAAAATAACATACAATCTCTTGAGTGCTTCAGAGGGACACTTTAGGCCCTGGGTAAGGTTCTCCACCACACCAGAATTCACTAGGCTGTGGTATTTCCATAAGCCACAGATCACCCTGTTCCTGGGCTTGACTATTCCTATCAGCAGCGTCTGAATGAGCATGTACAACTTTATAATAGTGGCAGTCTCTCCCTTTGTCCGGCTCATATGGCGGCGCTAAGATGTCAATGAAAGCTGTGGGTCCGTCAACAGCGTCTATTTGGTGGATATTGTCCTTGTGTGGCGACAGCACACACGGGCCGCTGTCCTCCGTGTATTCCCCCACAGATCGCAGCACTGAAGGCCGTAAAGAGCTCCTCTGGAAGGGCATCAGTGGAGGGTTGAACTGCACCCCGCTGGTTCCCTCTCTAGGTTTATCCAGCCTGTCGAAACAGCTGATTCGTGCTTTTCCGTAGATCACTTTCAGCATGCCGTACATTCCCGGGTGATCATGCAGGGGTATAAAAGCACCAGCTTTTAATAGGAACACCCCCATGCTGAAGGTGTCGGTCTCGTAGATGTGCATGTATGTGGCGGGAGGTGCGAGACGCTGAGGCGGCATCATCGACGCGCTCTCGACGCTCCGCGGTACAATCTTCAAATCGGCCGCTCTGACCTCCGCTAACAGGTTTATCAGCTTGCTTTGATTTTCCAAGAACACTTTATTGTGTTCTCCGACAATAGAGGGGTTTCGGAAAGTCGTAAGGGCCTGTTTGGCGATTTTTTGGACAGTGGAAGTCATATTGTCTCGTGGCATCATCACACAAGTGTCCAGCGTCAACTTGCCTTTCAACTTCACGCGCCGCTTTTAACGCGCTACAACTCGTAATTCAGAGATTAGCTACCTTCTTATTTGGGCCGTCAATGTGTAAAAGCTTAAGCAGACCTCCAGGAATACCGTTGGACCGAGCCATACCTGGTCATGATTACTCCATTTACAGGCAATCGATTCACACGTACGCTATGCGTCACACAGAGAATTATGGGAAATGTAGTGTTTTACTATTATGTAGCTGAGGAGAGGAAGCTACACGAACCATTTTAGAAACTTGTGCTTTTTATAGCTGTAAACTTTAATCAATCTGGTCTGTCACGAATAAAATATCTTTGTAAAGACCTATACGGACGCTTTAAGAGACGTTACACTTAAACCGGTTACTACAACTCCCATAACACTTGCTCTTCAAGGGGCAACGACACTTCGGTCCTTCACCACTCAGAGAAAACCATGGAGAAAACTCACGCTTTGAAAAGTGTGGGTTTAGGCTACTGTGAGTAAAAAGTATTTTCACACCTAAAAGTATAAATATTATTCCGTTGAATGCAATATATCAAACCAAATGTAGGCTACAGTTCAGTTTAAATAGTTTATATTAGCTTGTTCTATATCAAATTCAAAGTTACAACATAAATAATTTGTTTATTATTGGATTTATTTTCCAAGTATGATTGTATTCTCAAAATATTCCAAAAATGGAGTTCACTCTCAACTCAAGAATTAGTATGACCTAAATTAATTGAATGAATTGCTTTCTGGCTCAAACATAAGAGCACATGAAAATAAAAACTTGAACATTATGACATAAAACATAATGGACTTCAATTAATGCTGTCTGGTTCCATTGTTCTTCAAAATGTGTGTAGCCTATATGTGTTCGGGATAGTTATGCCCAGATAGTACTCTTCACAATATTTGTTATTTAATTTATTGTTACTCAAATCAAATTCCAAGTTATGCAAGAAATCAATGCATGATTGACTGCAACGGCAAATGATGAAACTATGATCTCATTATCAGTGCAGAAACAGACCGTTGACACTCTGGCTGTTGCCCAACCAATCATGACTCACAAACATGTTTGTATGACATTATTTTAAAATATATATTTATAGAGAAAGAGACATGTGGACAGTTTAGTCATCTGTGGTCATGTTGTTATTCCCAAATACTTTGCCTAATCATTTGTTGGCATACACTTAAAAGCAGAGCATCTATAAAAAGCTAACGCTATGGAACAGGATGCAACACCACCGCCTACTTCAGTCTTCTGAGCTTGTAAAATAACACTTGTGTGTGAATCACAATATGACTGTGAAGAAACATTTTTGATGACATCATGATGCTCTATGTCATCTGAATTCACACCAGACATTAATAAATGCATAAACTCTCTAGTCCTCGTTATGTTGATACACATATCATGACTGAATAACACATTTAGCTACGCAAACAAGTCAAATAATATGTCTGCTTATTCACTATTTCTCTCTCCTCCTAATAATGTGGCTTGTAAACTTGCTTCATAGCCAACTCAAACAAGTATAGCCCCCTCAGTCAGTTTATTTATCTTTGCAGTGAACTTCTGACTAAACTTCTTATCCTGAGAAAAGTGGATTTTGAAGGGTATATCGCCATAGACTTCCATTCATTCTGCACTCATCCTGTGAGCGCCCTCATATGGACCCAGAGTGGAACTGCAACCAGTTCAGAACCCGAAAGTTTGCCGAGAGTGAGAGCGGCCTCCGTCAGACAAAAACCTTATGAAAAAAAATGTATACTAGCTCTAAGAACTTATTGGAATGATATTTTAATGTAGTTAAAAAAATAAAACATAAAATAAGCATAATTTACATAGAAAATATGGTACTTTTTGAAGTAAATGAATTCAAAAATACCCCCAAAATAAAAATAAAAAAACACCATAAATGAATAGACAAAACTTTATCAAAGACAGCGATATAACATTTATAATAAATAAAAATTAGGATCACACCTGAGTCCTCTGTGCCCACATTTGTCCACAATTACAGGATTAAGGGCTATAAAGTGAATATGGTTTGAGGGCTGCTTCTAATTCAGGGTTTTTAATAATTGCACAAATACAAGCTCTTCAAAGAGATCCTAAAATCAGTTTTGCATAGATGTTAAAATTGAGGATATCCCTCTAGTGCTCATCCACTGCATTGCAGTGATGAATAACAAGTGAATTAAACATTTTTGAAGAAATGTAAAGGCGGACTATGTAAAACTAAAACATTATAAGAACAAAAAACAGTAAAAAAAAGTGCATCTCATCAAATGAGTGACCATTCAGATGCCACAAGAGATGGATAACAGACAAAGCATTAACAAATCAGTTTTTTAATGATCAATTCTAGTCACATTTATTATTCAGAATATCACGTACAGCAGCAAAGATAGCGCGAGACTTCAAATCTCACAGTATCACACGTGTAACACAGACAACAATGTTCCGAGAGAAAGGCACAAACATTAAGATAAATCTAGAGAAAACATTAAAACATCAGCTCAAAGTTTACTCATTATTATCAAGAAACACCAAACAATAGAACCAAAAAAGTTGTTATTCTTCTGATTGTCATCTTTAATGGCCTACTTACACTTCTAGAGCCCAACCTAATTCACAGAAAGGAAATTTACACTGGTATTAATATTAGGGATGCATCGCTTTTTTATACAATTTTTTGGCAACGGCTAAATGACCTAATCAAATTGATACTGACAAAAAAGCCAATTTGATATGGCCACCCATACTGTGAAATTCAAACCTGATATTGATAAAATATTGACATTATTATTGTATTGAAAGTGTTGAAATACGGTAGATAAGCAACTAATGCTATACTAATCTTATTTTCAGCATCATCCTCAGTCCGTCCATAATATTAGTTGGGAGTTGGGACTAATAATGAGACAATAAACACTGTCTCAGATCACATCTATAATGCAGATCATTTCGAAAATAAAAATAAGAGTGAATTTGGTCGAGCCCTATTATGTCTAGTTTGACCCTAGTGTCCTCTAATGTTTTCTGTACAGTATACAGTTCCTCCCATCATGAAAGTATTGTCACATATTGCACAAGCCACTGGATAAAGCATTATAGCATGCTCACTCACGATAAAATACTGATGGATGTGAATGATCTCATGCTCACACAGCACTACAGTACTTCAGATCTCCTTCTAAGTAAACACAACATATCAAGTAATACAGAAACTGGAAGGAAGCGCAAAAAAACTAAATAAGATTGTAATCACAGTGTCAGAACTGAGCACACAATGGAGTGGATGACACTGCCACCACTGAACAAAACATCACAAACAGAGGTTAAAGGTGCTCTGTGTCATTTTGTTTGAGTGTACTAAAGCATAAAAACACCATAATGTTTGCAGAGATGTAGGAAACATGCTAAGTTCAAATACTTGTTTCTTTGTGAAACAATCCTACAGCCAGTTATTCTACTTTGTAATCAGTGTCAGAATGTCTGGTTTTGTTTTGGTCCGTGTGATCCCGCCCGCTGCCGATTTACCCAATAGTATTTCGACACTCCGGGTTGCCAGTTGGCAGAAAACACAGAGATCGCAAATTCTACCCGACCTAAAAAGCCTTGGCAATAAAAACATTGCAAACATATACATCAACTTAAAGGTACAATATGCAGGATCTTTCGCCACCAGGGGTCGCTAACCTCTTACAATAACAAAGGCGTATATTAATGGTGTATATTCTGCATTAACCGGAATTATGGATCTTGTCGTCAAGCTGATGGATCTTTTATGGATGAGTGAATACATTGATGTTTTTAACATGACTGTGGTGTGAAACTTGTTTTTATTATTGAGTTGAAGTAAAAGTATATGGCGTTTTATAAATGTATATAGAAAATAAATATTTGAGTTATTGAAATTAAAAAAGTCTGAGCTTTTTTTTAATGCAAAAATAAAATCGGAATCGACTAAAATCGGTATCGGCAGGTCAAACTCAATGGAAATCTCTATATATAAAATTGGCCTTGTGGTTTTGGGATATTTTACTGCAAAAATCCTGCATATTGTACCTTTAAGGCTCGTCGCTTCCAATTGTCAATTATGCACATTTTTGTTGTCTGTCCTCAATCTGGCAACCCATTTGAGTGTGGAGACTGAGAAGGACCGGAAAGGAGAAACAACCCTCTCCAATATTTGCAGTACCCTTTAAAACAAGAATTATAACTAGCTGTTTTTATACTCTCATCTTCTAAACTCAAAATTTGTTTGTTTTTTTGTATATTTTTAAGGTAAACGTCTCACACGCAAAGCTGAGAGGTCCTATTTAGCTGGTCACATGCAACTGGTACAATAATATGTGAAAAACATCGGAGCCGTCGCTGAAATGTTAGCAAATGCCCTCGTTTGGCTTTTCCCCCCAAAACAGACGGTTTTCATATGAGACTTAATGTGCTGTGGGTAAGATCTACCTTGCATCTGACACACTACTTACTAGTATTTAAAAAACATTATCAATCTTGAAGTCAAAGTCAAATGAAGGGTCGACCCAAATACATGCATGTACTGGTCCTTTATCGATAAACACTGCATCAAACTCTACCAAAAACACTACCCTGTTCCTCCAATCTGTTTTATGGACACTACCCTCATCATACATAAAATTATATTTCACGTTATACTGTAAATGTCAGTATTTCTTGTACATTACCATAACAATGACATCAGGACTTTGGTAATTACTTAAAGTAGTTTTACTACTATTCTCTGAATTGTTTCACAGCTCTGCCAAAGATGAGAATAAGTGCTACTGCCTCAGTTATATTGAAATGCTCAATTTTAAAGTCTATGAAGAGGTTAAAGGGGTCATGACATGAGAAATCAATTTTTCTTTGATATTTTTACATATATGAAAAAAAAAAAAAAGAAACACTGAAACATTTCTCAAAATATAGTAAATATAGTAACCGAATTTTCCTTTTGGGTGAACTATCACTTTAAATCAAAGTACATTCTTTGTCAGAATTGTTTCACAGTTCAGTCAAAGTGCTATTGCTCCAGATGTACAGAATAGCAAGAAGGATCTTTTATCAAACTACTTGGCAATGAATTTAAGAACACTTAAGAACATCTATACATATTTCGATAGCTGCATGTTTTAAAACAAAAGAGA